CCAACTCATTTTTTCAATGGAAAAGTTATATTCTAAGATTATTTCATGCTATTAATGACAATGATCCAGACCGAAGTGTGGAGTTTGATGCTATATTGATGAGGTCGAAGGGGTTTTGTAGAACATCTTGCGTGTTCACCAGACCTCATACTACTAGACTTTTTATGGGGATATTTAAAAAACAAAGTCTACGCTATGAAACCTGCAACAGTAGCAGAATTAAGAGTAGAAAATTCCAATCAAAATGTTGTCATCAGTGTCTGGACCCGAACTAGCGTCATTTTGAAGTTAACAAAACAATAATATAATGTTTGTAGATTCTATTAAATTTTGAAGATGAAACGTATTTTAATAAACACTGACTTTATAGTTTGGTTTGGTTTGGTTTGTTTTAATGCATATCAACCTCAATGGGTTATTTAATGCCGACAAGATTTTTATTGCTGGTAATATTTTATCTTCAAAATTGTATTGCTGGTAATATTTTTTCCAAAATGTATTGCTGGTAATTTTTTTTTTCTTCAAAAATGCATTTTTTTTCCAAAATGTATTGCTGATAATATTATTTTCTTCAAAAATGTATTGCTGGTATTATTTTTTCTGAAATATATTACCGGTAATATAATTTTCCAAAATTCATTGCTGATGATATTTTTCTTTAAAAAGGTATTACTGGTAATATTTTTTTCTCCAAAATTCATTGTTGGCAATATATTTTATTCAGAAATGTATTGCAGGTATTTTTTTCCCAAAATGTATTGCTGGTAATATTTTCTTCAAAAATTTATTGCTGGTAATTTTTTTTAAAGAAACTTATTTCTGGCACTAATGTATTGCTGGTAATATTTTTTAACAAAAATATATTGCTGGTATTGAAACTTATTTTTACACTTTCATAGACTTTTTACCCCAGATTAGGAGTGAAATATCTCTCCATAGGTTCGACCCTACCAAGCACGGTTCATGGTGGATCTTGGGACACAAGCAATTAAGAGGTAAGAAGCCTTGCTCTTGGATGCAGTTTATCGTCTTATCAAGGAGGACTGACTACTTAAAGTGCGTATAAAGTTTTTTGAGACACCTTGTACATATATATATATATATATATATATATATATATATATATATATATATATATATATATATATATATATATATAAACTAAAAATATATTAATGCATACATATATATATATATAGGTAACTATACTCGTCTCGAAAAATCTTCGAATTTCTGATTTGCCAATAATCAAATCAATCTCGAAAAGAAAAAAAGGTTTCCCTGACGATCCGCTTAGGTGAAATCTGGGTAGGTTTGTTGGCTCACTAGGTTTGACTATATATATATATATATATATATATATATATATATATATATATATATATATATATAATATATATATATATATATATATAATATTAAAAGGCTTATTCCATGGTCATAATTTATTCCATTGGAATGTACGATTCCAATGGAATAAATTATGACCATGGAATATTAGTGTTTAAGCATTTTTATTATATCCTTACTCTGTCCTGGACATTGAGTTCTACCTGGATTCTTCCTCTTGAAAATTTTTTTTTCTAAAAATATACATCTATGGGTATTTATATATTTTGCATATGTATGTATATTTTCCACTAATATTATCTATCTATCTATCTATCTATCTATCTATCTATCTATATATATATATATATAATAGATAGGTTAGTCAATGTAACAAGGACACAGGAAAGAGTACCAATATAATCAGTACGAGAAACATTTATTAAATATTATTAACCTATGACAGAAATGAAGCACAAAGAGAAAGGTTTTAAGTTCGGAATTTTCGGACACGTCTGTGTCCTTCATCATCGGACCTAGGAAGAAACTGAGAAGTGGGAATTACTCATCGACAGATGTTTTTGTAGACGGTGTATTTTCTCTTGGAAATCATATTAGCAAAAACCAGATCTCTACCTTTTTTCGAAAATAATCTGAAATTTAAAATATTGATCGGTGTTATAGCGTTAACACTGGTCTATTATTAGTAGGAGGAGGAGTAGGGAGTAAAATTGGAAACATGCATTAAGAGATTTATAGGTTGCGGAGTGGGAAAGACTTTTTGCGTGTGTCCAGTTGTAGCCAAAAATTGTCCGATCATGTTGTCAATTTCAGAAAGACAGGCTCTAGTTAGAATAACATCTGACGAGTTTAAAAAACGTGAGCAGGAGAAAATGAATATACAGTAATAAAATAAAATTGAATGAGATAAAATGAAAAGAAAAAAGGGAAGATCATTTAGAAGTATACAAATTTTGAGGATAAACATTTGGAAATCTATTGTAAAAAAAGTGGGGGTACAGAAAATAAAATAAAATAATAAAGGAAAACAGAGGGAAAAACATATACATATATAGATGCGCTTGTGTACATAAGTGCATATAGCAAACATATGAATCTCAATACACGTTAAAATATAAATACAAGATTAATATGTATCTACACTAACTTT